ACTAAAATCCCCAATTTGGTCCTATCGTTTGGGTGCTGAAGTGTAGATGTTAGCCCTCAGGCGAGGGGAACGTGGGAGCTCCAAAGTGAGAACCGGTATCCTCCCAGTCTAGCCGCAGATTCAGTAAACAAGCGTAGGATTAATCAATGTTCTTTATGCCTGGACCAAAGGATAAAGAATAGGTATGCTCATATTTGGCACAATATAATTTGAACTGATTCACTTTATCCATTCACTATAATTTCTTGACAAGGAGAAGGATGTTTTCTTATATATTGAATATCATATTCGAACCTTCATTAGTATAATTAGTTATTACAATTACATATTTATTTCAATTGCCTATTAGTGACAGATAAGCAAATTGAATTTTGTTGTTGCGATTAAAGTATTGTTTTTCTAAAATCTTAGTTCGTAGTTCTAATATTACTCAATGTGGTTTCGATATCTAGGACTCCATTAGAGTTATTACTTGAGCGATGCGTATACTTGCGTTGATAAGTGTGACTTTACAATTATTGAATATTTATTACATCCATATTTATCGAATCTATAACTGTTAATAAGTTTTAATACAGTTGTTGAGAAAATAAATCTTTTAGCAGCAGTATTAAATACTTATATTTTTAAGCATATATAAAGTCGCGGACATTAACCAAATACATGTATTTTGAAATTTTCAGTGTTTGCTTTACGAAAAATGAAAATGCAGAATAAAATTTTATAGTATTTGCAATTTACCATTTTGTTCATTTTTAATATATTAGAATTTTGACCAATTCTAAATGAATTTCAAATGCACCGCATGTGTGAAGTTTTGTCAGCCCCTCACCACAACTACCAACTGCCGATCACCACTCTTGCCCGTCGACACAACTGCAGCCAGCCACCTCTCACCGTTGGTCGCCGCTACCAATGATAGTCACCCAAATTTTTTTGTCGAGTGCATTTTACATTGATTTTATTTTTCATCAAACAAAAAAAAAATCAAAAAAATTATTTTACATTGATCCAAACAAATACTTAATTTCTAGTAGATATCTCTTACTCTTTTATGAGATTCATTAAATTTTATGTGGCTCTTACATATGAAAGATACCCTAAATATTACCCTGTTAGTCCTCATATACATCATTTTGATGGCATAATTGTTACCTATGATCACTTAACTCAAAGAAGAGTAGCTATCAGCCCAATGATTATTTAGTGTACTTTGTAATTATTAAAATCATGAAATAAGCTCATGAGGCGAATAAACTCCCTCATTTTGATAATGGCAAACATTTTAAATGGTTTATTTTTAAAATTTGAAATTAAGATAGTTAACCCTCCCCATTAATGTAAGCATGAATAATATGATATTTTCATAATCTACATAAATTACAGAGTTAAGTTATGCTAGTTTATAAATAAGTACAATATCATAGAGACAAAATACTGAGATAAAGATAAAATAATTGATATTTACTAAGCATAAATACTCATAGAGCTAAAGAAATATTCAATAAGCACAAATATTAATACAGTGCAACAACCTAGAATCCCATATCTAATGCTCATCCCCCATAAAAATGCACCATAGTGCTAACAGTTTGCTCTTAAGAGTATCCTAATACCAACCTCCTATCTTAAATCACATTCCCCTTTGTCACTTCAATGATAAAATATTATAAAAATATAGCCTCAAAAAAGTGAAAAGCATTATAAAAGCATAAAAAGTTATAACTCCCTAGACACAAAACTACAAGCATCATCTTCTTCTTATGTGTCCAAGACATTCTCGGTCAGTGGTCTTTCATCAGTCAAGCAGTGATCGATCACCCAATCTCATCTTCTATAAACAGTCAGTCAGTGATCACTCCACTATTTTGAGATACAATGGAACTACTCTTGGATGGATGAGTAAGAAAAAGATTCATTATGTGCAAAAAGATTCTCCTTACTATGACGAGTCACTAAAAATCAGAGAAAAATGAACAAAATTAGTCCTCAAAAAAATGCTCATTTAAAGCATGATTTAGATATTTAGAAATGACAATAAACTTAATTAAGTGACCGGGTCTCAATTAAGGGAGAGCTCATAGGAAGAGTCGTGAATATGCATTGTTTGACACGTGAACACAAAGACCATGTAATGTGATTCAAAGAAAATGTGACTCAAAATATATAGTAAGGGACTAAAGATATTGAATGATCCAACCTACACTCCCCTGCTTTTTTATGAATAGAGTGACAAAAAATAAATTGGATGCAATAGTCATCAAGAGAGAGATAGAGAGTAAAAGCTAAAGGCATGTTATCTAGCATGGTCATTATAAATAGTTGGGCTAATGCTTGTTCATCCAAAAGGTTTTATAAATATCACAATAGTTCAAACTTTCTGTCCATCCCATGGTAAAGAAAAGTAGCAGGACAAATATTAGGAGATAATTTTTATTTCGAAGTAGTAAACATGAAATTTAATATGATTTGAAGTTTCTAATATCATTTATTGTAAAAGATACAAAAAAAAAAAGAACAAAATGGGGTAGCGCATTAGAATAGGATATTTAAATTAGAGGTCTTAAATGGAGAAATATTATTATATCTTTAGACCTATAGAGGGGTTAATGTAATGTGGAAGACTATGAATGCTTTGTTTAGGCTAGGTAAGGAAGCATTCAAAATCCTCCATGAGATTGAAGATTCACAATGCTATTGTAATTTCTTAATATAACATCCTCACTATTTGAACCTGTTATATCATGCTCATGGCTTCATTTCAGATTTTTCACTTTGTTGTGATGTAATGCTAATTAGCACTCGCACTAGCAATTGTAAGAGAAGCTCCATTTGTTAAATGTGCATAATAGTTTACTCGACAAAAGGCTGGCTTCAATGGAGTGAAATGTTTGATTTCTATTCGTCTATCTCTACAAATAGTGCAAGTGAATATGATACTTATGCTCATTGTTTAAATCAATCCTTGCACTTGTCCAATATTAATTACGGGCTAGTCGGCCAAGGGCCAACTTAAAGGAAGTGAGAAAGTTATTTAGTCATAGTTTATTGAAGTTGTTTGTGTTTGTGAGTGTAAAGTAATGATAGCAATCCCTTCAGAATAGAGATGGAAAAATAAATAATCATCTAACTCATCTCAATTAACTTCTAAAATGAAATTACAAAAATGACACTGATTGGATCTTTCTTGAGGTTAAGATTTTTAACCCCTATAGATAATCTTGAAACTTTATCATGGCTATTTTTGCATTTACCTCTCTCTAGATCTCAAACCTTCTCTCTCTCTAGAATCCCATTTTCCGTATAACTTCATTTTCAGCTCTCCTCTATCCCCAATGGTGAATTCATTGAATAAGTAATTGAATAGGTTTAAAACATGCGAGTACTTGAAGTTGTCTAGGGTTTCTGTCATGCATATGTGTCGGCGCTTAAAAAAAGGGGGAAGGGAAA